CGCGGGACTTTTTGCACTCAGTGCCACGCGCGCGCTGGGCAGCGCCAAGGTGCGCAGATGGCTTCTGCAGCGCGTGGCAGTGCGACCTGGCGGGGTGGGCTTTCATGCGCCACGGGATGAGACAACCTCCATCTTCTCCTGCGCTCCCCCTCCTACGCTCTCCTCTCTCCTTTGCTCGGTGCAGCTCCGCGGGCGTCAGGGGCCCTGGAGGGATAGTTCGGCTGAGCTCCAGAGTAGCCCACGTCCCCGGTCCCCGGTCTTCGGTCCCGGTCTGGCCAGTCCCCCGGTCTCCGGTCCCCGGTCCCCGGTCCCCGGCCCCCCCCGCCCACGGCCAGATCCTCGGTCTTGGCTGTCGGTCTCCGGTCCCCGGTCCCCGGTCCCCGGTCTTCGGAACTGGTCCTCGGTCATTATGGCCCTCGGTCTCCGGTCCCCGGTCCCCGGTCCCCGGTCCCCGGTCCCCGGTCCTCGGTCCTCGGTCTTGGTCCCCCCGGTCCCCGGCCCCGGTCCCCGGTCCCCGGTCCCCGGTCCCCGGTCCTCGGTCTTGGCTCTCGGTTCCCGGTCCCCGGTCCTCGGTCCCCGGTCCCCGGTAGTCGGTTGTCGGTCTTGGCTCTCGGTCCCCGGTCCCCGGTCCCCGGTCCCCGGTGCCCGGTCCCCGGTCCCCGGTCCCCGGTCCCCGGACCCCGGTCCGGTCGTGGTAAAATTCCACCATACCCGGGCTTCGGTGGGGCTCCATATGTGGCCACGAAGCGCTGTAGTGAGTGGGTGAAAATGCAAAATTGGGTGTGGGGGGCGCATGCGGGCGGTACCGCTGGGTGCTTAGGTGGAGCTCCCTATGTGGCCACGAAGCGCTGTACTGGGTAGGTGAAAATGCCGAATTTGGCGTGGGGACGCATGCGGGCGGTCCCACTGGGGGGTTCGGTGGAGCTCCCTATGGGGCCACGAAACGTTGTGCTGGGCGGGTGAAAATGCCAAATTGGGTGTGGGGGACGCATGCGGGTGGGCCCACTGGGGGCTTCGGTGGAGCTCCCAATGGGGCCACACATCGCTGTGCTGGGTGGGTGGCAATTCTATGTTGGGTGTGAGGGACGCATGCGGGCGGTCCCACTGGGGGCTTCGGTGGAGCTCCCTATTGGGCCACGAAGCGCTGTACTGGGTGGGCGAAAATGCACGGGGGGCTTCGGTGGAGCTCCCTACGTGGTCACGAAGCGCTGTACTGGGTGGGTGAAAATGCCAAATTGGGCGTGGGAGGCGCATGCGGGCGGTCCCAGAGGGGGCTTCGGTGGAGCTCCCTATGGGGCCACCAAACGCTGTACTGGGCGGGTGAAAATACCAAATTGGGTGTGGGTGACGCGTGCGGGCGGTCCCAGTGGGGGCTTCGACGGAGCTCCCTGTGCGGCCACGAAACGCTGTGCTGGGTGGGTGACAATGCCAGGTTGGGTGTGGGGGACGCATGCGGGCGGTCCCAGTGGGGGCTTCGGTGGGGCTCCCGATTGGGCCACGAAGCGTTGTGTTGGGTGGGCGAAAATACCAAGTTGGATGTGGGGGCCGCATGTGGGCGATACCACTGGGGGCTTCGGTGGAGCTCCCTACGTGGTCACGAAGCGCTGTACTGGGTGGGTGAAAATGCCAAATTGGGTGTGGGTGACGCATGCGGGCGGCCCAACGTGGGCTCCGGTGGAGCTCCCTATGTGGCCACGAAGTGCTGTGCTGGGTGGGTGAAAATGATGCCAAATTGGGTTTGGGGGACGCATGCGGGCGGTACCACTGGGGGCTTCGGTGGAGCTCCCTATGGGGCCACGAAACGTGTGAGGGATGTGCCGACATGGGTGTGGGGGACGCATGCGGGCGGTGGAGAGGAGGAGGGGGAGGAGGAGGAGAAGAGGACAAGAACGCGGGGACCGTCTCTTCAAAACGAGGACCCAACACCACAGGATGGTTGGGAACAAATTCTCGGAAGGCGCGAGGTCTTCTGGGAAGTCCCGCCGCTTTCTGAGAAGGCCTTATCCTTCTCATTTCCACCCCTGGCTCGCCGCCAACTGGAGGAGCCTCACATCTTTGGGAAAGCGCCGCGGCCACCAGGGCAAACTCTGCCTGGAACGCAGAGGTTGCCGTTGGTTTGACACGGAGCCGGCTTCGTCTGCCTGGGCGCGTTCGGAACAAGCAGCGCGGCGGCGGTGACCAGGCGCGGCGGCGTTGGCCCAGTGCGCGCTCTTGGGACCCATTCCCCGAGACCAGGTGTTCGTCCTGAGAAGTCGTGCTTTCACGGTCCAGAGGCCCAGCAAGGGCTCCCAGAGGCCGCAAGCAGCGGAAAACCTCCCGCCGTGATTTCTGCACGGCTCGAGGGGGCCTGGGCACCCGACCTGCGGCTTCCACGGCGAGCCGCGCGGGGAGGACCTGCCGAGCGACGACGACGACAACGACGACGACGAGGACGACGACGAGGGCGACGACGACGACGACGACGACGACGACGACGACGACCTCCCGCGGGCAACAGCGCGTGCACGCCTGCAGCGGACGCGCCGCCGGCCAGACGCCGCACGTCCCCGGCGCGCGCGCGCGCGCACAGCCGCGGAGGTTCCTCTCGGAGGCGGGGCGCGCCGCGGAGGCTCGGCTGCGGCAGGTCCTCCTCCTCCTCCTCCTCCTCCTCCTCCTCCTCCCGCCGTGCAGCGGGTCCTGAGGTTTCTCATTGTGTGTTGGCCTCCCTCGAAGACGAAAACACATAAGCATAAACTTTTGGCGCTCCGCGCGGATTTCTTGGATCCGCGCTGGGGCCCCCCTGCGGCGCCTCCGGCTCCCCCCCTGGCGCGCTCCGCGCGCCAGGGAGGAGGGCACAGCGCGGATCCAAGAAATCCGCGCGGAGCGCCAAAAGTTTATGCTCACTTGTTGTTGTTCTTCTTCTTCTTCTTCTTCTTCTATTCCCGGGGCCCTCCGTGGGCCCCGGGGCTGTCAGAACACGGCTCGGGATGACGGCCTCATCCTGGAGGCAGGCCCCGGGGTCCAGGACCCGTTTCCCACGGGACCCGTGCCCCGCATGCCAGAATTGGCCGAAGAGAGCGGAGAGCGCCCTCTACGGAGGAGAGACAGCGGCGGGTTGCGCCGCCATTTCGAGGGCCCCCTGTCTTCGGGCGGAGAGGTTGCGGTTTCTATGAGGATCCGTACCTTGTCAGGCTTCGAGTCTTCTTGAAAGGGGACGCAGCTGCGGCCACATCATTCAAAGTGTGAGGCGATGCTTGACATGGCCGTGCACATGCAAGCGAGGACAAAAGGGGGTAAAGCGGACAGCGCCGCATTTTGGTGGGGGCCCTATCTTCGGGCGACGAGATCTACACATTTTGGTCGTTCCAGAAAGGGCCTCGCCTTCGAGGGTCGAAGGAGTTGACATCTCTGCCTCGGCGGAAGGGCGGCGGAAGCCCGCGGAAGCAAAACGAGGCCGTCTCCGCCGGCGGATGGCCTGCGGAAGCCGCGTAAGTTAAAACATGCGCCCTCAAGAGATGGCAACATTTTTGAGTTCAGGGTTGCTGGAACAAGCCATGTGTCCACCGCCGCTGGCCAGGCCCTTTCTGGGCCCAGAACCAGTGCATGTGCAGCACTTCCCATGCCAGGAGGGCGTATACACTGCTCCTGGGCTCAGGATGGGCCTGGGCAGCGGCGATGGATATGTATGGTCCTGAGTCAAGGGTTCGCAGCCTCCTTCCCCCCCAGATGGGATGGGTCCCAGGGTTCCCAAAAATCACCTCCCCAATGGGATTGGGGGGGACGACGACAACGACGACGACGATGACGACGCCGACGCCGACGCCGACGCCCACGCAAGACGACGACGCCCACGACGCCGACGCCGACGCCGACGTCGCCGATGCCGATGCCGACGACGCCCACGAAAGACGACGACGACGATGACGACGACGACAACGACGACGACCACGACGACGACGACGACGACGACGACGGCCACACCGACGCTGACGGAAGATGACGACGACGACGGCGACACCGACGCTGACGGAAAATGACGACGACGACGACGCCGACGACGAACCACCCCACACCCACAGGGAGGGAGGGGCATCGACACCAACCACCAAGCCACGGCACGCCCATAGAGCCACGACCACATGGGAGGGTGAGCGATCACATTCTCGAGTTTTTCGCGAGGCTCACGGGTCGATCCCATCAGCATTGGGGGGCAATTTTGGATCATGTATAGATCTCGTCGCCCTGCGCCAGTCCCACAAGCTGGAGTGTACTCTTGCAGCAGACACGGGCTTGGCGCGCGTCCGGCGCGCATCCGACGCGGATCCGTCGCTGATGCTCAGCGGATCCGACGCGGATTCGACGCGTTCGACATGGATTCGACGCGGTTCGACGCGGACAGCAGCGCTACGGGACAGACAAGGTCCCCCGAAGGTGCAGTATGAAGCAGACCGCTGCCATCCATCGCACCCACGGACGGTCGTCCGCTGAGGGCCTGCTGTGGTCCGGCTTGAGCACGCTTGCGCCCACGCGCGCACACCCGCACAAGCAGAGCACGATGAGAAGCGAGAAGAACCCTGTGTCGGGGGTTCCAGTACTCGGCTCCGTGGTTGCACGGGGGTGTTCACGCCAATTCGTTTGGACTGCGAGAGGTTCAGTGCCCGAGACGACCGATGCCTCGCAAGTGCGTAGTCGTCGCCGTGCGTCGTCTGGCGTCGTCGTGCGTCGCCGTCGCAGTCGTAGTCTGGCTTTTGGTTGATGACTCGGTCTCCGGAGGCCGTTCGGGACGGGACGATCCGGGCTCTCCCAGAATGCCCTCGGCGAGGCGCAGCTGCTTAAAGCGGAGGCTGGACGACCTCCAGGAACCGACGAGAGCGTTCAAAAGAACTCGCCGTCGTCGTCGTCGTCGTCGTCGTCGTCGTCGTCGTCGTCGTCGTCGTCGTCGTCGTCGTCGTCGTCGTCGTCCTTGCCACGACGTCTGGCATTGGTATCGGGCAAACGCTGCCCTTGGCAGCTCCCGACAGGGCGACCTGGACGTGCTCTACGCTGCGAAGGCTGGCGGCGCGGCGAAGGTGTGCGGCCGCCTCAGGATATCCGTTCAATGCGTGTGACGGTGCGGCGCTCGCTCTTGCGATCGGTGGCCTGTGAGCCGTGGCCGTTCCCCAGACTCAGTCGCGTCGCGAAACATGCACCACGGGAGGCCTTTCCCCATTTTCGCCCTTGGCCACGGGGCTGTCAAACGCCGACGTCTTGATGAAACACAGGTCCCGGGGGAAAGGGAGCTATGGGAGTCGACGTTGCTATAGAATCACGACTTGGGAGGACTGAGGCCTGGGGCCTGAAGTTTACAGTGGAACAGGAAGACACATACTTTCGGACGCCCGCGGATGGTTTCCCCGCCAGTGCTGGTCCCCGTCCCTGCACCCGCGGCGCAGGGCGGCAGGTGTGGAAAGGGGGGTCTGCCGCTGGCGACATACGCGAACGGACGTTTGAACGTTTGTTTTTCAAAGTCGGTTTCTTGGTTCCCCCTTGGCGCCGTGATAAGAGCCCTGCTCACTTCGGACCTCCGCTCTATGGGAGGCACGACCTCTCTTGAGTCCTCGCCGTTGCGATTTGGACCTGCACAGGCTGTCCAGCTTGAGTCCCGCCCTCACGCGCCGCGTGCCCAGCTAAGTCTGGGGCCACGGCGGCGCAGATTGTTCTTTGTGAGGAGCGACCTCGATGTCGTCTGCTGCGGCTGAAATGTGCGCCTCGCGATGTCGGACGATGTGGCGCGGTAGTCTTTGCACGGTCTGTCCAGGCCCTGAGACTCTGTCAGTGCAGTCGGTTCGATGCCCCCAGTGGCCCTATTGTTCTCCTGAGTAGGTCTCACCCAGCAGCAGACGGACGGACGGGCGAGCATGCAATTACATTCCCACCTGGCGGTTCCCCCCTTGCGTCCATACGTGGTATATCCTTTGAAGTGGGGTGGTGCGGACGGACCATCCTCCCTTGCTTGTTCATCCAGAAGAGGCTTCGGAGGTCCAACTTTATCCATGATTGCACCGCTCGTGGTCCGTATGTATGCACATCGAGCTAGGACATGTTAAAAGCGTGAACGCATGGTCCAGATCGAGCGTCGCAGGCAGTTGCGCATGGAAGAGCAAAGAGTGGACATACTGCTGTTGCGGCTACGAGCACGGAGCGATTCAGCATTCTGGAAAGTTTTGGCTCAAGCCTCCTTCGGTCCGCCTCGGGAGCCGCTCTGCGCCGCGGGGCCGCGGAGAATGTGGGCGCCTGAGGCGGGCGAGGCCGCCCTGGAGGCCGCGGCGTCGAACGACGCGGCCCTCCTGGCCAGGTTCGAGGAGGGCGTCTTCGGGGCGGCCCCATCCTTTCACACCTCAGCGCCCTCGGCGCCTCCCACGAAGGCCTCTGGCGCCCTCTCCGACGTGGCCCACCTGCGGCGCAAGCGGCAGGCGGAGGAGCACGTTGCCGGCATCGCCTCCGAGCCCATGAACCGCCGGCACAGCAAGAGGCAGGCGGCGGAGCAGCGGGAGCTGCGGCGCACGATCGTCAGGCCTGGGCCGGTTACGGTCCTGGAGCCCAGGAACCCGTCGTGGTCCTCGTCCCCCGCCACCGCGGGCGCCGGCGACGCCAGCGGGCCGCCGTCGGGCGGACCAGGGGCGGGCGCCGCGGCGACGGCGGCGGCCGCGGCCGCGGAGACCAAGGTGGCGCGGTCGGGCGCCGCCCAGGGCGCGGTCGCGTCGGCGAAGCAGTTGGCCGCGATCACCAGCGTGTGCATGGTCTGCCTCCGCGGCTTCACGTCCGATGCCAGGCTCCGGAGGCACGAGGAGCTTTCGGAGCTCCACCGGCTGAGCGTGGCGAGGCTGCGCGAGAGCAGCGTGGCGCGGCCGGCGCCTGTCGTCGTGAGCTGACCTCTGGCGCCGCCCGCGCGCTGTGCGCCGGTCGCCCCTGGCGCGGCGCAGCGGGCCAGGGCAGCGATGCCAGCGACTCCTCGGCGGCCCTCGGCGGCCCTCGGCAGTCCCCGGCGGCCCTTCGCAGCCTTGGCGGCCCTCGGCGGGGCCATCGTGGCCGCGGCGCGGCGCTGGTGGACACCTGCGACTCGGGGCGCGGGAAGGCGACTGGGGGCGCGGCGCGGCGACGACCCCTGAGATCCAATCCAGGATCCGGCGCGGCGGGCCGGAGCAACGATGCTTTTCCCCCCGAGGCGGGCCGGGGAGAAACAAAAACATGTTGGACAGTTTCAGGGGCAGTAGGAGGAGGAGGAGGAGGAGGAGGAGGAAGAAGAGGAAGTGGAGGTGGAGGAGGAGGAGGAGGAGGAGGAGGAGGAGGAGGAGGAGTCAAGTTGGCAAGATTGAACGAGGCAGTGCGCCCCCCCCCATACCCACCCACCCTCCCACAATCATTAGAGTCAATGGTGCCACAGCTTGCCATTGGGACTGGATCGCGTTCCCACCTAGCAAACGGAAGGCACTCGCGCGCGGTCCCGCTTCGGACGACAAGGCGAGGGAAAGAACATGCGAGCCGCGCGCGGACGGGAGCGGATCTTCCGACAATCCTTGCGCGGCGCTGCGGCGAGTACCATGTAGCCTTCGTTCAGGAAGGGCGGGTCAGGAGCGCCCCTCGCGTGCGCCCAGGCTCTGGAAGTTGTTCGAGCCCTTCGAGACGGATCTCTGGATTGCCATCGTGGCCCGCCTAAGCTGCTCCAGGGAGTGCTGGAGGAGGTGGAGGAGGACAAGGGAGAGAAGGATTCTCTAGCGAGTCGCTCAGAGAAGTCCACTGGTGTTGCCGTTGTGGTGTTGGTCGGCGACGGCAGCAAGTCAACCCTGGCTCGAGTGCCACGCTCAGAGGCAGGGAGGAAGGCACTTGCCAGGCAAGGCCGTCTGCGTCCAGGTTGTACAGCATGGTCGCTCCTGTGGGTGCGGGCGCAGACTGCCCGCCGCTTTCGGCAACTGCCGCAGGCAGCCAGTCGCCCTCACGCGGGGGCACACGGACTGCGAGGCGCCTCGGGGGCGAAGGTTTGCCAGGTGGCCCGTGGCCCATCGCTCCACCGTGCCCCCAGTTTGTGGGCGGGATGCGCAGAGGTAACATGGCCGGGAGGACCACCTGCCGAGAGTCTGCGGTCATGAACTTTGATAGCGTGTCGCGGCGGCCCCAGCGACACCTTCTGCCTTGCGAGCGAATGGCGTGTCGCTCCGCTCCGCGGGGCGGGAGGCTCGGAAAAGCCAGGGATGTTGGTGCTGGAGCGCCGGGAATGGGACAGCGTGTCGCACAGAAGCGTGGTGGGCCACAGCTGGCGGCGCGACACGCTAAGGCGAAGTCCCTGACTGTAGGATCTTGGGGCCTCTCGGGAGCCTCCTGGAGCAGCAGGTGGGCGCTGGCTGGAGCATCGGCCGGCCTCTGCCGTGCTCACCGCTCGGGGTGCTGCAGTCGGCTCTCTGCGGCTAGGGGCGAAAGAGTGACCCTTCGCCAGAGTGTCCTTTGGTGCGGGCCCCGTGTCGGAGTGGGGGTCGGACGAGGATACCCCGTTCCAGATCGTTCCAGTGCGCGCTAAGGGCGTTCCGCAACGCAGTGAGAAGGCCGCGGCGCCCGAGACATTATCCAGAGCCGCCGGATCTCAGAGATTCTCGATGCATCCTTACCCGATGTTATCCTCGTCCTGGCTTCGTCTGACAGTGGGGCCCCTGGTTCACGGAATGCGATTCGATAGCAGCGGCTCGTGCGTTCGGTTTTGCTCCCTCACCGTCGAGGGACAGAGGAGCGAACATGAGCAGGAGCTGAGGGCTGAGCAGGGGAGGGAGGAGGAGCATAAGGAACAGGAGGCGGAGCAGCGGCAGGAGCAGGAGGAATGCCAGAGTCAGCCCAAGATGCACCAGCGATGCTGCAACACAGCCTCCCGTCCAAAGTCCGCCTCAGTAGCCCAAGTACAAGCACTCTGGTTTACCGTGGGGAGCGGCTCCCCCGTGGGCCCGCACTTCAGGCTGGAGCTCCGTTTTGAAGGGAGGGATTCTCCGGCCTTCGAGATGCAAGACATGCAGCAATGCGGAGTTTGAAAGTTCAGAAGAGTTCAAAGCGACAGCCCCGCTTTGAGAAGGAACCGCCCTGCATCCGTGCAGCTGTTGCACAGGTTGTAAGTCCTGGGCTTTGGACGTTCGGACTCTCAGGCGAGAGTTCTCCGTCCGTGCAGCTGTTCGACAGTACCGCACCTGTAGAGGGAGTCGGAGGCGTGAGCCCCATGTTGAAAACATGCCGACCTCCTCCCCTGTACGTAACTGCTGGAAGTCTTGACGACAAATATGCGCGGCGTTTTTAAGGCAAGAACCACACTTTGACCATGGCTGGCCCTTAATCCTTGTAAATGTTTGATGTTTATGATGAGTGTGCGTGACGCTACGTCGAGAACCACATGTTGAAAACCATTTACATCCGTGTTACTGCTGATCACTTGAAACTTCGGGAAAACGGATTGCAGACAGTTCTCAGGCGAGATGCCTGGCCGGGCCTACGAACACTTCTTGTTGTGTGACAGGGAGGATCTCTTCATGTGAAGGATTGGAGGATGATGAGGAGGAGGACGCACAACGAATAGGAAAGTAAACCACTCGCACAAATGAGGAGGAGGACGGAGGAGCGAGGCATGAGGCCGCCCGAGCCTGCCCTCGCTGCAGCGGCCAGCCAGCCGCTCCCCCCAAAGGTGGTGCTCACCTTCGGCGTGGCCGTTGTCCTGGTGCATCGCCCCGCTGCCTGCCCACGCGGGGCAGCCTCTTTTTGCTGTTGCTGTTCCTGCTCCCTCCTCCCGCCGCGCGGGGCGGTGCGGGAAGAGGGAGAGGAGGAGGAGGAGGAGGAGGAGGAGGAGGAGGAGGAGGAGGAGGAGGAGGAGGAGGAGGAGGAGGAAGAGGAGGAAGAGGAGGAAGAGGAGGAGGAGGAGGAGGAGGAGGAGGAGGAGGGAGGAGGGAGGAGGAGGAGGAGGAGGAGGAGGAGGAGGAGGGAGGAGAAGGAGGGAGGAGGAAGAGAGGAGGAGGAGGAGGGAGGAGGGAGAGGAGGAGGAGGAGGAGGAGGAGGAGGAGGAGGAGGAGGAGGAGGAGGAGGAGGAGGAGGAGGAGGAGGAGGAGGAGGAGGGAGGAGGAGGAAGAGGAGGAGGAGGAGGACGACGACGAGGAAGTGCGGGGCGGATCACAGTGCCAGCGTGCTCCGAGGGCCTTGCTACATTTTGCATGTCATCTGGCCTATCCCAGTTTTTTCTCTTCCTCCTCCTCCTCCTCCTGTCGCTGGCCCAGGCAGGGTTTTTCGGCCCCTGCCTGGTGTCAAGCAGATCTCCTCCGCTGGGTGCCGAAGCCAGGACCTTCTGACTTGCGAGTCTTCCCCTCCCAGGGCTGTCCTGGCCTACAGTCAACCCGCATAGTGAGGATGAGGAACTTTCTAAGTTCACCCTTGCATCCTTGCCCTTCGGCCCAACCTTGACCGCTTTCGCTGCCCGCGCCCCGCTCGCAAAGTGTGGACATGGCCTCCCAAGGCCCTTGCATTCTTCCCGTGCGTCCTCATATTGTACGGGTGGACTGTGGCCATCTCCCCTTTTCCTCGTCACCGCCACACCGTTCTCGCCATCCTCTCTCTCTCAGAGGCGTCCCGCAAGCTCCCTCAGGGGCCGCCGCTCTCCCCCATAGCCGAGGAGGGGCCGCCGAGTGGGACGGGGCGCGGCGGGGGGGGGGGGGCGCGGGTCGGGCAGGGGAAGGGGGGGGGGCGAGCGACCCCGCCCGCCCCCTTCTGGAGGCCCACGGGGGAGGGGCCCCGTGCCATGAGGCGTCGGGGACCCGGGCCTCCCCGCGCCGTCTCCAGAAGGCCAGGCAGTCGCGGACAGGATGTGTTGTCCGCGCTGTGTGACGAGCCAACAACGCACACCCATACCCATCGGGGGGTCGGAGAGGGCTATGGGTGCGTGTTGTCGGATGGGGGTCCCCGCTCGAGCGGGAGCGTTCCCCAGGGTCCGACAACTCGCACCCATACCCATAGCCAGTCCTCCTCCCAACGACCCCCCTATGGGTATGGGTGTGTGTGTGTGTGTGCGTGTGTGTGTGTGTGTGCGTGTTGTTCGTTCGTCACTGTGCTCGGCCTCTAGGGCGCAGGACCCGGCCCCAGGGGGCCGTCGCAGAACGGCCCGGGACGACAGACACAAGTCTGCGGGGAGGGGGTCGACGAGATCTCCAGGGGCCCCCGTCGGGTCGTTCATAACGGGGGTGAGGGCCATACGTGTGTGTGTGTGTGGATGTCAGGGCCGGGCAGTGAGATCTCTCAGGGTTCATGGCCCCCTCTCTTCTTCTGCTTATCATTACTCTTCTTCTTCTTCTTTTTCATCTTCTTCTTCTTCTTCTTCTCCTCCTCCTCCTTCTCCTCTCGAAGCATCCGCTTGCCCCCACCTCGTCCGCGCACGTGCCTCTCGGGGCATGCAGCACCCCCTCCCCTCCATCACGGGCCCCCTCGTCGGCGCACCCGGCAACATTCCGAGCAAAAAGAACGTCGTCGTCGTCGTCGTCGTCGTCGTCGTCGTCGTCGTCGTCGTCGTCGTCGGGGAATGGAGCCCAGGATTCCTGGCGTCGTCCAGGGGGTCGAGGCTCAAGGCGGATCGCCACTTCCCAAGGCTGAGCCTCCCCAGGCCCGCTTCGGGCCCGAAGCGGGGCCGTGGGAGGGGCGGCCTCAGACGAGACAGCGGCCGATGGTGTCGAGAGCACTGTGGCCCGCGTCATGAACCCAGGCCTGCGGGGAGATGGTGCTTGCCCAATCCAGGCGTCTTTCCTGGGTTTCGGCCTCCGAGGCCGACTAGTTCGTTATCGGGTCCCAGCACCACCAGGCACGGATTCGAGACCAAAAACTACCCCCCGTGATGGGGATCGGGAGCTCTGAATCTCGTCGGATGTCTGAGGACGGGCTAGGGCGTTCGGAGGTGTGGAGCTCTGGCCCCGAGGCGGCGCGCTCCACGAGGGAGGCGCGAGGGGCGTGGCCTCGTCCAAGAAGGCAAGGCGGGCGGGAGGCTTCGGACAAGGCAGGGCCCTCGTGAGCAAGCCCCGGCGTTTTATATGTAATTCTGCGAGGCCCCCCGCCTTTTTAGAAGGTCCTCCCCCCCGCCAGGCCCCCTTTCGGGTCTTGAACAAACTCTCAGACAAGGCCCTCCCCCGCCAGACCCCCTCGGGTCTTGAACAAAAATCGCGACGGGAGGCGTTCTGCTACGTTCGGCCTCTTGGGGGCCATTACCGGGCCTCGGGAGCGCCAAATAGCATTTCAGGACGAAAAACCGGTCCCGGCGGACGGGTCCAGACCTCTGGGGGCCCGATGCAGTGAACAGAATTGCGACGCCGGGGGTCTGCGCCTCGCTCTCGCCGCCGCGCCCCGCCCGCCGCCGCGCGGGCGCCCGCGTCGCAGAGGTGATCCTCATGGGCCTGTCGGGCCTGACCGACGGCAAGAAGGGCCTGGGCCTGACCTCGCACGGCATGGTGAAGGCTCGCCTGTCCCGGCCCCCCCACGCCTGCTGCCCCGCTCCTGCCTCCGGCCTGCTTCTGCCTGCTCCTTCCCTGGCACTGGCTGCGGCAGCCGCTACCGATGTCGCGCTCTTTCCTTCTCGCGTCCTCGCCCTTTCCTCCCACCTTCTCACGTCGTGGGCATCGCGACGGCAGGTTTTGACAGTTCTCGGCTTCTGGGGCCCCTGGCCAGGCTCCGGGAGCGTCGAACCAGGGCTCGGGATGACAGGCTGGTCCCAGGGAATTTTGGCGGTGGGCCTCAGGGTTTAGTGTGGCTTGGCAGGGGCCGCCACTTGAAAA